TTGGGCTAAACCAACTTACACTTAAACTAGGTCTTTTTAAGCTGGCTAAATTTCATTCCGCTTTATTTGGTTTGTTCTGCCTCCCTGAATAATGTTCTATTAACTGGCCACGTTGCTTACACTAATTGCGCTTATCTTCGGTAATATTGTTGCGTTTGTAGCATTTTAAGTAACTTGTGGACATTTCTTACTTATCACGGATTTGTTGCTAACCAACTTACTTCATATGGTAATTTAGCGGAGAGTTATGCCACCGTATCTGTATGCATTATTGGATTTATTTTATTTCAGCTTGTCGTTTAAAGTGAATGGCTGTTGTTTGATATCCCTGGTATGGTTGCGCTTGATGTGTATGTTGACAAGGTGCCTACCTGTCTATTACCCACTACATCGTTCATACTGGCTCCAGGAGACAGTTGGTCGTTGCTGGAGGGGACGGGGTGCACGGTTCTTGTGGCCGTGCTAGGCTCAAAGAGCGGTTCCATGCACTCAGTGTGGAGCGGACTACGGTCCAGCCACCGCCTTGTGTGCGGTTGATTCCCCAAATACAGCGTGCTTGTGTTTGCCTGTGAAGGAGTGTGGGCCGGCTCCGTTGATGAAACGTGGTTCCCATCCGCATGCCTCCCGGTCTTATTCCTTCGGGTTTACACTGGATATGGGGTATGTGGTTGGAGCTGTGGGTGGTGCAGCGCAAGCCATCCATGGTCCCTCTGTAGGCGCAGGCGTCCTGTGGCTTGCCACAGTGACAGGCAAATCCGAAACCGGATGCCGCCAACCATGTGTGTATAGGTGTAGCGGGAGACCGTATGGTGCGCTGAGGCTGGTGGTGGCTAGATCATGGCAGATGGTCTACCCACTGCTGCTACTGTTGTGCCATGGGCTGATGTCCTGGATGCCTCCTCGTGGTGACCGCTTGTTGGGATTTGGGTTACGCCCTTCTCCTTGCTAAGATCCAGGACACCAATCCGCATAAGGCAGTGAACTGACCATGTGCTAGACCCGCTGCCTTTCGAGTGTACATTTACTCGAAGGCTTTGGCTGAGGACCCCAGTCGTTCTCCTGTCAGGTGTGAGCGCGCTGCCAGTATCCTAGTCCATTCTCTTCAGAGGTTAGGAACTGGTCGATGGCCCTCTACTCGGAAAACCTAGCCATGGGAGACAACAGGTCTACGTGTTAGAAGCTCACAGCTCGATTGGCGTAGAGCACGAGAGCCACGCATTGTCTCTGACGGTGGGAAGGCACCTCCGGGTTTACATTGGATATGCGGTGTGTGATTAGAACTGTGGGTGGTGCAGCGCAAGCCACCCTTGGTCCCTCTGTAGGCGCAGGCGTCATGTGGCTGACCACATTGACAGGCAAATCCGAAACCGGATACCGCCAACCATAGGTGTAGCTGTATTGCTTGGGTTTGTATATGTGCCGCTGCATTTTTGACTGTTTGATGGCGTCACCAATTTGTAAAGTGATGATGGACGTCCGTGGATTAGATATGCTTATCCGGATAAGCAGAGGGCAGTGACTTTAGTTTGTGGCGAGTCACACCCGCCACATCGCAATGCCGATAGACAGACATTTAAGCTTTTTATTTGGGAGAACGCTTGCCAGACGAAAACCCACTACATCCTGGAAGACTGCCGACGAACTTTTTTATGGAATGGGGTAAACCCGAACCACCCAGCTGACACCACGGGTAAGTTGTCCGGTAGCCAGCCAATACAATTCAATCAGGCTGCAGTAAACAAAGAGAGAAACAAGTGCGAGGAGGAAGCAAAACGAAACCTCATATTTATTGTCTTGTTCTATGGTTGAACAGGGAGGCTGAGTGGGATGTGGAGGGATACAGAAACACATAGCACGGACGCCATTTAGGTCGGTTCTTCTCCATGTCAACAAGTGTATCTAACCAGACATCTTCATCATTCCAACCCAGGAGTCGAAAGGCCTCATCCGAGACCCACTTCGGAGTGGGGGGCTTCATTCCTCTTAACTAGGTCGTCGATTGACCTCCCGTCCCTTCTTCCACCCGGACCCCGGTCGCGCAAACCGCCCACTTGGCGGGATTCGGAGTGCAGACATGCTTAACACATGACCAACTCATCGGAGCCTTGTACGTGAAATAGTTGCGCTGCGCGGTTCATTCGCAACTCCTGCACCAAATAGGAGTCGCCGAACGCGCTCATTGTTCACACCATCTTCTCACCAAGGATGAACCAAACTTTAAGAGTACTGATGCTCGAACGTAATGATCGTCTACATCTGTCAATTCTATGGGAAAGGTTTCACAGCCATATAGTTGGGTTGAAGAGTCGGTTACACTGTAGACTATACTCTTCGCAACGGTACCACAAGTGACGAAAATTGGCAAGTACACCTCAAACTTCTGGTATATGGTTCGTGATCTCATCTTCGATTCCACAAGTGCTTGTTCATCTGCTGAGATAGTTAAATTTTTGAACAATTACTAGTTGATCCTAACCAAGAGTCAGTCCGGGGGGGGGGGAGCGGTTCCTGCTAATCCCGAAGTTGACCCCGATTGAAGCATCTCGGCTCTCTGATTGGGACCCGAAAGGCGATGAACACGTTTGTCTGGATACACTTGTTGACATGGCTAAGAGCCGGCCTCAGTGGCGTTTGTGTTGTGAGCTTCTTTGTAGCTCCTCCTCCGGCTAACCCCCCCCCCTCCGACCACGTTCTCATTTCTGACGCATAATATATTTTTTGCAGCACCGTAATCTGCTAGTTCTCCGGAACGATGTCCATCCGTTACTGGCGTACCTGTGTTGCCTCATTTTTCTTATGTATCGCGGAACAACGGCTGAGATGTTTTCCACCTCTAGCTTACATGTATACTAATGTATCCCAGATGGCTTTGCATTTGGATGGTGCAATACACAACCCGAAACAGTTGACAGTCAGCGTTAATCTGTCCACTGCTGACTGAACCATTCGTGAACTGTGACAGATTAGTGCAATATCGTTGACATTCGACATCAAGTTGATCACCTAGAAGCAACTCCACACCGAAGTCATTTCCGGTGAACGCAGTTTCCATGACTCCGTGTTTGCAACATTGGGACTCCCGAACATGGCTTGTGATTGTTACCTCGTATAGTCACTGACTTCACATCTTTGGTGCGTTGATGTGGGTAGAGGTTAGGCCTGAAATCCATATCGTTCTTGCTTCCTTGAACCCTTACAATGCCAGTAAATAACTGCGTGACACACACAGAGACAGCGTCCACTACAGTCGTGAGGTTCGTCGAGCTGTACAACTTGATTGTAGACGTTTTATCACCATTCAAGGTGACGTAATCAGTGCTGGGTTGATTGCAGTTCTGTTGTAGGAGCTGGCGGACGGCAAACCTAATAGTGCATCTGACATTGCTTGACGAAAAACTTATTGTATCGCGTGAGTGGGATACTGCCAGGTTGCCCGCGCATGGACAGGAAATTGATTAGGGTTCTCAACCAAAGTCTTTGATCCAAAAAAACCTAATCGTAAGGCGGATGCAGTTTCACAATGGGCTACAGGGAATCCATTTTGAGGGAGTAAACAGCTACGTCACTCCAATTCCCAAATTACAGGGTCAGGAGACAGTTGGTTCGGCCTCTAACTATTGACCAATCTCAAAGTGCAAAATGCACTACCCAACCCATTGGATCGTTGTGGCACGCAAACCATTACACCACAATAAGGTGCAGTCTTATTGCACCGTCAAGTGTGTGTATTCGTGCCGTACGAACCATCAGACGTGTTGAACTAACTTAGGGGCAATGTCATGCTGGAACTAGCGGTAGCAGCTAGACCATAATGGCCTCAGTCTTTTGCTAACCTTGAACCATAAAGGGTTCAAGGAAAGCCCCGTAGTATGAACTTGCGGAATGCTTGCTGGTGGCAGAGTGTTTCAACTGTGTCGCATGTAATCCAGTTGACAGTTCAAGGCCGCAAGCAACCGGCGCGGGTCGTGTAGCAGCAAGGCGTCGATACGACGTAAGCTTCCGGAGTGAGGATTCTGACCTTGAAAAGGATGCATCCCGTTTCACTTGCACGTGTGGGATGACCCAGTCACCGCTGATTGTTCACATCATGGATTTATTCCGGTATAAAGAAGCGCTTAGCGGGCAGATCAGTGTGCTTGTATATACACGACATAAACGAACCGGCGTTCGCTTAGGACCATTTTCTTATCCTCACCACTCATGCTGGGTAGTTAAAATGCTTCTTGCCATCATGTGTGAAGCTTACTTATCTACTGTTATATGGTTTGACTCTTGCTCACTTTGCCTTTTCGTTGGGTGTCCATGCCGTAGACTGTATTATGATGCGTACGGTTGACCGAAGAGATTACGATCAATTATTCCTAGCTGAATGATATCACTATATGCGATCGGTTAAACAATGATTGATGAGTTTGTACAAAGTTACTATCGAGCACCCTGCTATCCTCAAAGGCAAGGCTTCTAACTGGGAAAACTAAAGACAGCAGAACATCTATCCAGCTACGCTGTAGTTATGTTCTGCCATTCCGGACAGTTTGTGGTGCTTGTCTGCATTCGATAAACGAGTTGAGCCCATACTTTTTTGAAACATGCTTTCCGGTTTTTGGGTCTCAAGAAAGTGAGGTCATTGGCCTCCTTTGAGGGAAGTGTTTGCATCAAGCTAATCTGACCCCAACTGATTACCCTGTTTGATATGAATATCACTCATTGCATCTCAGTGGACTGTAGCATTGCTCCCAATCCGATAGTATATTATGGTTTACTAGTTCAAGCTACTGGTGATTTACATGAACTTTGGGACGAAACTGCCATCTGTTTTCCAATCCACATGTTCGATTGCCTGTGTCAGCGTGTATCCATGTTTCACTTCCCACTGGATGTTACTATCGTTTACATTAGATCGATTTTAGGTACCTTTTCTATTTGTCGATATATTTTTGTTCACTTCATCAATGTGCTTTGGGACCAGTCTATTCAACACTGCTTTTATGCTGTCTTAGATAAATCAACAAAACCACGGCGGAGATCTACTGCGCGACGCTTCTGCCCAAGTCAGGAAAATGCGGAGGACGCAACCAAACCCTTGCTTCCCTCTTTCTGTATGCGTCCTAATTCCTTGTCCGCATTCAGCATTCCTTCATCCGCCGGTGCTGATGCCTCTCTGTTTCTCGGTCTCGGTCCGTTTGGTAGCAATCCGGCACCCTCGTTTGCATCAGCAACGCCGAATCTTGATACACAGCACATTTCGGCGGATTTACCGTCATCACATCGCTTTCCAGCCTACTCCGGAGGCGAATCCGTGTACCGTAATCAGCCTGCCAACCAAACGTACTCGCAACAACAGTTTGCTGCACCCCAACCGCAGCAACAAACTGCTTGGTCAGCTGCCATGGCTGCCAGTCTTTTTGGACCGGTGAATTACGTCGGCTGGTGGCCCCAGGTGAGTCCACTTCCATCGCCCACCCTGGCTGCGAGTGCTGTTGTTGCCCAAAGCCCCTTTCAGTAATACTCGTCAATGCATGCTTCGTATTCATTTGCTGGTGTGGTACTACTTATCTCGATGTGTGTTGTTTATTGGCCATCATCATCCTGCACCTAAGCTACAGGTGAGAACCACCTCAACTATTGCGCCGTAATTGTTGTTTCTCCAATGCGGAGGCTGAACGAAGTCTCAGTCATTGTTACTACAAAAGACAGAAATTGAACAGGAAAATTGTATCTCGTTAATACCTATTTTGTTAGACAACAATTTTTGGGTAGAGAACGTCAGTAGTTGATACATGCATCAGTTTCTATCCTTTACTGTTTGCAACTTTACTTCTTCCAACTAATCCTTTTGCAATTCTTTTTTATTATGCTTCCGCTAACATTTGTTCCTATTTTCATTTTTTTTACTTCGTTTCTACCATTGATGGTAGTGGCTGCCCGAATCAAGACAGTTGGATTCCCCGCACTTCACTGCTTATCGACTGACAGAACAGTCTTTCTCGTAGTTGTTTTATTTACCCATTTTTCTTATTCCTGCCATGTGTTCAATCGTATGACTTTCTAGGTGAAGCCGTGTCAAGTAAAAATCCGGTTGACCTCTGTTCGGATCATGGGGCTTGTGACAACTGCTATCCACAATTCTGTCAGGGTCGTCAGACATCCACAACACACATGCACGCACTGGCCACCTGCATCAATGCCCCTCACCGGTTGTCTATGGCACTGCTCATCCGGACGGAGCTGCGGTGTTTAATAGGTGCCTTTTTGGTCCTAATTAGGCCAGCTCTTATTTGATTTCTGGTCGAGAATTTACGAGCGATATCTGTCTACGCTCGCTTCGTTGATGAGTTTTGCTCCCGGAAAGAGTATTGGCCTCTCCCCTTTCGATGACAACAATTGGCTCCTCGTATGTACTGTTAATTTGTGGAGAGTACTCTCATCTCATTTCGCATCCTCCACTTTCCAAAGAGCAATGTACTCTGAGCATATAAATGCTTAATGATTCGAAGTTGCTTCCATACTGTGTTGCTTGTGACCATTGCCTGCTTGCCAAGTGGAACCTGTATTTTTTCTTTACCGAATCCTATGAGGCGTGCGTTGTTAAAAGTTGACCTTCGACCCGGCAGAGCGTGGTGGGGTCAGCCATCAGCAAGACTATAGTCTGTGTCCCGTCTCACCTTTCGAAACGTTTCCAATGTGCTACACTCGAGTGTTTGGAAACCATGCCACATGATCACTGCATCGCTCTGTCGCTATTCCACACTTCAATCAGATTTGCTGTGGTACACTGAATATGTCACCTCGATTGGCGATGCGAAACTACCTTTATTCCATGGAGCAGTATTTGAAAAAGGCGAAAAAGTTGGCCGATGGCTTCCATGGATAACAAGGACATGTTAGAGAATTCCGATGCCTTTAGAACCATCATAGTACCGTTCCGCGCTATGTCTACGGGTTTTTCTGAGAAACGCTCCCTTGAAGAGTCAGTCATTGGGGCTGAGGTATGACTGGTCCACTCTTGCGTCTACCTGCTCGTATTCTGGATCTGACATCCCAAATAACCGTTGTGCGATTATCGATTTCTAGGTCACTTGACCCCACCTACGAAGTTGGTCTCATGGTTCCGAATGCAATGATTCAGTACGAGGTACCTGACTTAAGATGAAACCTTCACTCTCCATCGAAGAGCGATATTCGTCTGTTACTGTTTCGCCTTATTATCTGTGCTCTCATCCTAACATGAGATGCGAACTGGATGCGTGCATTTAAGGTGGAGCCGATCGCTAGTCAATATTGTGCACAATGTTGATATGAGGGTGTAGTGTGAAAGTTCTCGAGCTGCCTGCGTCATTACGATCACTTTCTCATGCCTGTCACTCAGGCAATTCACTGACCCGCAATAGATTCGAGTTAATACAATTTGGATATCTCTCCTTTTGAAGCATTGCTTGTTGCCGACACCTTGACAACCGCTTGAACAACGTGGCTGACACGGAGGCTCTAACATTTTACCTCTGGTACAGAGAACATGACCGCGGCTGTTTGCCACACTAGTGATTTCAGCGGCACACATTGCATGCGCCTTCTCCTATTTGTCCCTGACTGCAAGTCATTGTTGGTTTGCGGGATCGCTATTTGATATACTTGCACCAATTACTCTGCTTGCGCCATTTTCTCATGTTGCCTGGTATCCTGCTCACTAAGTTTCCAACTGTTGGAATATACTTGGAACCGATCGATAAGTGGTGGCTTCAGTTGCTTGTTCGCAAATCTTGCTGAAACTGTGCTCCCCAGATTTGTTCCGTCTTTCGGGAATGTTCCTTGCGGATAGCGCTAATGTGTATCGCGATCGCCCATATCAGTGCCTCGGTGTGCTGTTTCATTCTACGCAGCCTTGAAGACGTCGCCACTCTCGCTGTTCACATCTTACTACCAGATACAAATACTTTGCTCTTACTTTTCTAGCGTCTTTGGCAACCTCTTTACTGGCTCCTCGTACCGTTATCCTTTATTTAGTCGAGGTGAAATTTACAAGTTTGGTCCAAAATTAATTCCACTCCGACTTTTTACCGTCACTTGCACGATGTTCATTGTCTGTTTCTCTCGCTGTAGGCGAATGCCAACTTTATGCTGCCTTACTCCTCATCCTGCGGTCACACGACAACGTCACATAGCTCTGAACGTCCATCATCAGAACCATCTGCCTCCATTGTCTCCCAGTATCCGCCTATGGCAAACGTGATCCCTCCAGACACGGGCTTTCAGCCTAGACAGTCGCAAGCACCCGCTCCAACCTCTTCTATCACGAACACCCTTCCCTCTTCGTACAATTTGTCGGGCTCATATTCCGGCGGTTGCGGTGGTGGACTCAGTGGCGGTGGCAACAGCAGTGGTGCCGGGTTCGTGGGGTCTACAGCCGCCCCGGCGCATATGCTAGCCTCCTTGCCCACGTTCGCCCAAGCAATGTACTACCAAGCAGCCAGCTGGGTCGCGAATCAGAACGGAGGAGCAGACGCTCAGGGACGTGGGGGTTGGGAGACGAGCGGCGCGCCTAAATTCCCCACTCCTTATTCCTCCACTGTGCCTAACAATCAAGACCGTTGATGCATTTTTTGTCACACCAAATCATTGCACGACTTCTATAGAAGTATTTCACTTGTCTCACTCCGAGACTGAGATTTTCACTCTTATTTTTCTACCTGGGTTGTTTGAGACTGCATTATGGAATGGGCATGTACCTCTTCCTTCTAACCCGTGTGAAAACTATTGTCATTTGCATTTGTTGTCTAGATTGCTTGTCAGATTTTGTGAAAAGATCTGCATTTATCGAGTTTAAATTTGTTCTCTCTCTACCCAGTTTGATGTGGTGCATTTTCTGTGCAAATGTCTACTACACACGCTGACTGTTGTTCAGTTTTATTACTTCACTTGCAAGAGAACGATGGAGCATCCGTGAATCCACTCCATTTGTTGTATGCCGGTTTGAAAGCGTAGTGCTATTGGCATACATCTGTTCGAATGAGTCACCTCATTGCTTATTTTGGATTGGGGTCCACGGTGTTCTTATCCCCTCAAAGTACAACATGAACTCACACATGCTGAACCTCGTTGCAACTCACGTGTCCTGTTAATAATCACAACTTTTCTGGACGTTCTCTTGCCGCGGTTTTTGTAAAAAGTTAGCTGGGATTACCTGACGTCAGTTAACAGACTGGTCAATATCTATTTGCACGTGTTTGAAGACGAAAGACATTTTGTGGAAGAACGACAGCGTCGCATGTGGCTGATGTCAGTAGATCAATTGGCTCCAAGCAACGAACGTGAGATGACGGTACATGGATGTTATTTTCTATGAGATTACACAGATGAGAGATAAACCACACTTATCAGCAGCAAAACAGATTCGGCACCGTCCATGCTTCGAATCAAGTTCGGACGGTGATAAAAGAGTTATGCTGACGGATGATATTCTATGACTACCCATTCCAAAATGGATTTTGTTCGAAGTCTTCCACCTTAGTCTTGGATGCAATCGTCCAGCTAACAAGAAACTGTGGTAACAGTAGGTTTGAATAGAGAACTTCATACGTAGCTTCTGACTTACTAGTATATGGGAAGTATCTAACTTAGGAGCGTAGTTACAGAGTTGTGCTTGAGTACAGCCACACCAGTCTTCTAAGACGCTGAGCATGTTTTTTGACCTTGGTGGGTTATTGGCTGCGGTCACGGTTGAACGTAAACGAGCGCTGATTGGTCTTCATTTTATTTACCAGATAGTGTTACGCGATCTGAAGCAGGGGTGTTAAACCAGTCGACAATGGTTATGCCCTCCTTTTATCAGAGGCAACTGTCGTTTGTGTTGCACACAATCGGACTGCATTTTTACTCCGTAACTTGCTACCGTTTGTGATGTCTGAGCTTTGAATGATGCTGAGAATTGGTTTTTCTAACCGTTGACTTATCTAGGTGACACTTGAAGGTTCTATCCAGCAAACTGTCCTACTGTGGCATGTCGTCGTTATCTGGAAGAGCTACACCTGAAATCGACTACAACCCCACCGAAATTTTGGTACCAGCGTCGGATGTTTCCTAGCTTTGTACGCATTGTTATGTTGTTGACCACAGTGATAACTCTCTTGCTACCTCATCTAGCGCGCATGATCCATAATCTGTTACCTGACTAGTGTACCATGTACAAACATTCTTTTAATCGGATCTCTCGAAGGTTTTTCTCCATAATTGTTGCTTATGGTTACGCAGACAGTTCAGTGCGTAAGAGTCTCTCCTCTTAATGCCCTGGTATTTATGAGACAGTAAATTTTGGCTACGTTGGTATCGCCCAAATTTGGAGAGCCATGCAGCTTATGGATTAGAAGTGAGAACCATCCCAACACAGGTGAATCTGCTAGCGAATCACATTCACTATTCACCTGTTTTAATCAGACCAAACACTCGAGGAATCTTGTTTGCGGCTTTTTAGTGGGGTTCCCCACTATGGCGTGGAAGTGACGGCTTACTTTTTAGATCAGATACCTAGACATTACTAGTTGAAGACGTTAAGTAACCGTCTTTGATCACCCATGCTGGCCGCGCAATGATCATCCCTGGTGTATACGCCAGGAAAGAGTACTGAGGTCCAACAAGAAGAAGCTCTGCTGCCTCACTGGCCGTTTGATCATGCCAGAACTGTCTTTGCAGTAGAAGCGAAACGGCTGTCTATTTCTAGAGCAAACATCAAAGGGCGGCATACGAGAGCAGCTAAATATGTGTCGCCACGTCTGTTACAGGTGGCACCAAAGCGAGCCAACAACCTGAATCTTTGGGTCATCGGAATTTGTAACTGTAGGTGACTGAGATGGAAAAAGTATATTCTCTCCCACTAGGTTGATCTATAAGCAGGACGGACATGCCTGGTACAGCGTTCTCGGCATCTGTGATTTCATCGTTCATTCTGGTTTCAGTTATTAGGATCAAGTGCAAAAACATCGTGGCTTGATGAGATTGAAGCTCAAATAATTAACTAAAGAAGCCGTGTGCGTTGGTATACACACAGGGTAGCACTCCGAATGTCGGAAGCATATCTGAGTGTGCTAGCTTTAGCCGACAATTTTGAGGTCGGCAACCAGTCGTTCTGTGTGTGGAGCTGCTGACGTTGGACTTCAAGCCACTTCAAATTGACTGATAGAATGCTCACAGGATGAAGTTTCGCTTTCAGTAGGTGTCGGTCAAGTCCATGCTCCTTCGACAGTTAGTTGTGCCCCGCATTTGTCCGTTTCGGAAGTATGGGGTTACTGTAAAACGCTGTTGACTGCACTTTCTCGGTTATCTGGGGTCTGGTTTTGAACGCCTTTATCCATAGCTCTGAAAAGAGGTTCTTAAGGTAATTGTGCCGCGTTTGAAGTGTACTCCGCCGTGTTTGGACTGGAGCACAATTTTCATCACCATTGGGGCTACGTTCGCTGTACTTTGATGATGAGCTTAATTTTGAGACCGATTTGACGATCACGTTATTGAGTTAGAGCACCTGAAGAATGTAGTGCCCCTCCTTCCAAGTATGAGCTTCAGGTTCACGTTCATCGGCTCGAAGACCCGGGACATAATGAATAAAGATTGGTTTTTCGTTCTTCAGCCGGTGGTTATCCGAATTCTGCTTTCCTCACTAATCAGCTCCAAGGGATGCAGTGGGATGCGAACACGAGGTAGCCCGAAGACGTTGCTGGTTGCAGCGTTACCCATAGAAGCCATGTTTCAAAGAAGTGGCCTGAGTTTGGGTACCGTACCCTGCTAGCCGGTTCAGGATGGACGTTGATTAGTAGGCTCAGGTAGTCCCGCTGTTTTCGGTCCAGTAGTGTATGATGGGATAAAAAGCACAACTTTACAAGACCCACTGGTTGGATACGCAAAAGAAACTTAACATCAACATGTTCCAATGTGGAACGTGAAATATTAGTGTTTAAGTCATTGTAATACATCAAACTGTTATTTAACGTTTATTACGAAGATGAAAGTCTAATAATCATTCGAATGTTGTGATGTCTGTTGCGTTCACCATATATGTTGGTAGTGTATTCCAGTGTGAGCAGATTCCAATTGAGTAAAAGTGTTTTCCACAATTCAAACGAGAATGTTGCTTCATAAGTTTCAGGTGGTTGCCTCAGCATTGTAAGGGGCTAGGGTCAGCAGTGATGTACACGCATGATCGCTTTCAGTTAGTATTCGTTATGTGAGGATGAGATCTCCGCGAATCCGTCAGTATTCTTTGAATAACACACTGAGCAAACGAAGACGCAGTTCGTAACTGAGACCAAATAGTCCACGTTTGCTCTTGTGGCTCTTCTTTGGGGTTGTTCCAATAGCGAATGTCTCATTTTGACCATGGACACCAGGCCTGAATTGCATATTCAACGTGAGGACGAATATACAATTTAATCAGCAATGGTACTAGCCGTCACTCAAAGGTGCCGAGAGCTCGCCCCAAAAGCCTCAAGTACAAGTTCGCCACACTTGCTGCTTTCGAACATTGGAACGAATTGCCGAGACTTCCTTGCACGATGTTACCTAAGTCGCGTTCACTAGTCACCTGTTACAGGACGTGTTGCCCTAAAAGATATGTTACTGAAGCTGCTGCACACCGTCGGCAGGTGTCGCCTTGCAGGGTTCAGTGGGAACTGGTTCTTTTCTGACCATTCATTAATCCGAGCCAACTCTTTCTGAAGATAGACACCGTCGAATGTTGAGCTAATTGCTCTCCATATTTTAGCATCGTCTGCAAATATTTGCATCCAGGATAGAATGTTTGTTGGAAGGTCATTGATGTAGACTAAAAACAATAGCGGACCGAGGACGGATCCTTGCGGTACACCCCCGGAGACGCACAAGCCTTCAGGATGAGTTTCGGCTACTCTTACCTTGATTGCTCTATCGTGTAAGTAGTCTTCCGACCAGGAGAGCAGGGCAGAAAGGTTTTGAAGGAGAACGAAGCTTATCTCTTATGGAGTTCGCGCTAGATTTGGAACAGTGATTGCCAACACCTCGTGGGCTCATCTAGGAGTGACCTAGTTTGAGAGGAAATGTGATCCGGCGTTGTGGCTGTGATAGGCGCACGTGTGACGCTTCTGGCGCCCTTCGTGATCGTGTCAGGTGTATCTAGACTTTGCTCCTGCTCCTTCGGCAACGGCGAGGAGCAGGCATTTAGTCTCATCTTAGCAGTAGCGGGTATGCCGGTTTAGGTTTTGTCACAGATTTACTCTCAGGCAATACCTCCCGGGGCAGAATATGAGTCGCCGCTTAGCGGAACTTGCTTGTCTGCATGGTTTCCGACTGGAGTCTTTCGTGTACCTATCTTTACTTCTTCACCCTTACTCCTGACTCGATCACTGTTTAGATGTACAGCCCAGGAGCTCGGCTGCAGTGGATTCCGATTAGGGACATTCGCCATGTCTAAACCCTTCGACCATCGCCGCTAGAGTATCGCATTTCTGCGGCGAAACAGCTATACACCTAACAAATGGAGCAGCCATGCCATCAGTACAGAACCAAGGTAAACTTGCTTTATTGTCCAGCTCTTTCACTTCCCTTGCGAACAGACGAGCACACTTAGCGTGATAATGGTTCTGCACCTAGAACACATTATCCCAGTTCGAACGGTTCTGCAACCACAAAAGCTGCTCAGCTGTGTTGGGTGCGCCTAGGATACTAGCGATTACGACAACAGGTGCCAAGTAATGAGGATATAGAAAATCGAAGCAGATGGACCCAGTGTATATTGTAATAGCCAAAAGTATGAAGAGAAAATAAGCAAATCGAGAAGCAACGTCACGCGCAGGACCTGGGCAGAAAGTATATGGGGATGTTAAATCAGCAAAACAATGAACAGTCGGAAAGTATAGTGACGGATAAATCTAACGTTCTGAAATACTGAGCGAGTACATCTTTCGGATTCATTAGAATGGCCTCCACCTGGAAAACTGAGTGATGTGATTTTTTGATAGGTCTGTCAGGGGAAGAACGAAATAATCAGGGTGGATGCGAAGAGTAACAGGTGGAGGTGAACGAGGATTCCAAACTGTGGTGTTTCGCAG